CGAAATCCGTGAGCATCTTCATGTAAAAGCTACACGCCCAATCACGTAATTCGCAGTCCATGACATGCGGTGAGGGGCGGAGAGTGCGGTCCGAAGGCGGGTCGATCATGTAATGCATGATGAAGCTGTACCACCGCCAGCAGGACGAACTAAACGAAAGCAAGCCAAAACTGCATGAGACATGGAGCGGATGGCGTTTAAAAACGCACCAACCGTGCGGACTATCACTCCATTTTGTGCCAAGTGAATGTCGGTTTTGAGTCCTTGCTCATTGAACCTTCAAAAGGGATTACTGTCTGAGAGGCGCAGACAACGGTGCGAAATTCAATGTGGAAATTACTAAATCCGTTGAGGTCATTTCGGGGTTACGGGTGAGGGTGCCGCGGCGGTAGCAAAGCTGACTGAATTGACAAGAGCATGCCAAGGTCCAAAACAGCCTTTAAACAACCATATACGTCGTCCATCGGACAAGTAGGCCACATCAGCACTGCAAGCCGAGTTTGACCAGCCAAATGGCGGGATAGCACAATTTCAGCTGAGGCCAACTGGAAACACACGTGCCGCTTTTGCAAGATTGTGGAATTTGGGAAGCTGGATAACTCAGATTCCTCAGATGACAAAAAGCTACTTAGTTTCCCGAGCTGAGGAGTCGCGAGCTATCACACAAGTCGCACACTGAAGTCAGTGAAGTATTGTGAGCTCTCTTGTTTTTTTCTCTCGCCAAAATGCGATTTGACGTCTTTGCGTTGAATTTGCATCTCCGACTGTACCTGGGCTACGCCGGGCTTTTTGATTATAGCGGGGGAGGAGGGTTTAGGGCTTTAGGGGTTTAAGGGTTTAGGGTTTAGGTACCTGGGTTGCGCCGGGCTGGGCGGCATCAAATTTTGGACTCAAAGCCCGAAGCCATCCTAAACCCTAATACTTAGGGCCTAAACCCGAACCCCAAAACCCTAAAAACAAGAACCCTCAACCCTAAACTAAACCCTACAGCTACCCTGGGGCCTGAAGTTGGAGCGAGGATTAAGGCATGGTTCAAGAGTTTCTGGGTTGGTTGGTTTGTGCCCCGTAAAAACAGGAGTTGCACTCAATATGCAAAATTGTGAGAATGCTGCTTCTGCCGATCAGGAGCTTGCATCGCTGCAAACCAACGGTGAGCTCTAAACCCCTAGTCCCAAACCATCCAACCTAAGCCTAAACTCCAAATCCTACCCCGTAGAGGCAAAGAGACTTTGCACCCTAAACCTAAACCTAAGTCCTACACTCTAAACTCTGTGTGATCCTGGGAACCTTCCGCTCCGCTCGCCGCTCGTGCACATACAACTGCGCGGGGTGGACTGCCCACAACTCGAGTCCATTGGAACCTCATGATGGCGATAGTAACAAAGTAACATAAAGTAACAGAATACATACAGAATAGGATTTTCTTTTTGGGGTGACATTACGGCGACGGGGGGACCCAAGGTTCAGAAACATCCATTACTATTATCGTACTTACTGCCTACCTACTACCCATGTGAACCGTGAACCCATGATTGTAGGTTGTCAGGTCTCGCAGGAATACCCTTACGGTTTTGGAGATTTGGGGCATTTTTGCTTTCAACTGTAAATACGAACTTGGGGCCGTATAAACAGTTTAAAGATACTTAAGGGGACCATCATGTTGGACAGTGGGGCATGAGAGGGACTTGAAAATACCCATTACCCGTAGGAGCCATATTCGTAAGATCTATTCAATTCTATACTATACTTATACTTATTCTACTCCCCTGTATATCCCTGTAGCCCCTTTGGCAGCTACGGAGTCCCATTCTACACATTTGGGCATTTGGGCCCAATTTGGGCCACACGATAAAGGGAAGCCATGAAGAGACCATGATGTGGAATGTGGAGTCCCTTAAGCCTTACCCCCCACATGTCACGGCAGCCGCACGCTACCGCTACAGTATTAGCAGACCACGTGTTTTCTGTCTTCTGTCGATCTAATGAGTCGAGCGCTCGGTGCCTGCGCAGCAATCTGCACGAAGACTGCG